AAGAGGGGGTCGCACGCGTGGCACCTGGTGCCGTGGTGGTCGCAGTGGAGGCAGTGGGGAAGGACTGTGCTGCAGCGCTCGCAGCGACCCTGATTGATGGATTGTGCAACAAACACACATGTGCGCGCGTGTGGGCCAGAATGAGAGTGGAGTGAGTGAGGCAGGCAGGGAGGGAGGGGGGGACAGGTCGCGTACGTCGTGTGGCTGGACGAAGTAGCCCATCTCGCAGACGAGGCAGGTGCCGTCGTCATTGCATCGGACACACCGCGGGTCGGCATGGACGCTGCACTTGGATGGACGGCTGCAGCTGCAGACAGACAGAGACAGACGGACGGACACTCGGCGCTCGTCGGTAGACTGTCCTTGTGGCAAATTACTTGAGTGCATTGTCGACTTCGTATGTGAAGATGGGTATCCCGGTGCCGATGTCGTATGAGATCCGGAACCTGGTGTCGTTCTGGACGTACTCGGGCGCACCAGACAACACCCACACTGTCTTGTCCTATATGCCCACATCCATCCCTCCGGAAAGGCGAAGGAAGCTGTGTGCGTGTGAGCTCCCCTCCCTCACCTGTTGGCGTCTGAAGTCGGGCACCACCTGTCGCCCTAATGAGTCGATCTGGAGGGCGAGTAGAGGGTAGAGCAAGGAGTGCAGGACAGGGAGAGCCGATCTCTCTCTCTCTCTCTCTCTCTCCCCAACACCTACCCACCAGAGCTTCCTGCTCCCATCCAGGGGCACAGACACACATATACGGCTCCTGCAAACACACACACAGAGAGAGCCGACGTGTGTGCTGACTGCACTGCGGCCGCTCTGTTGATTGCGGGCACCTCGCAGGATCCTTTGCCGCATTCTGGCGAGGGCAGAGGCCATGACTGACAGAGGGGGTAGTCACATATGCGGCCGCCCCAGCCCTCATTGCACGCGCAGCGGTTGGGGAACACCGCCTCGCCGTTGACACACTCGGGCAGCTACATGATGAATGAACACACATTGGTTCTGGGTGGGGTGTGCAGTGAGTGCATGGCTGTGTGTGGTGTGTGTGTCTGGTTGTGCGTGTGGGCTATTTGTTACCGATACTGGTGTGTCGCACGTGTCGCCTGTCCAGCCGTAGAAGCACTCGCAGTGGTCTGCACACACACATAAATTAGACATGGATGCCACGCCACTCGTTGCGTCGGTCACCAACTTGGGAAGACGCACACGCCTTGACCCGGCACACACTCTGTCTCAGATAAGGGCATGGCAACCACACCACACCACAGAGAGATAAGAGTAGAGACCTGCCGCCTTTGGCCAGGCTACCTGGCTCGCACACCGGGTGGTTGCACCGCGGACCTGCACACCATAACACAGACAGTACACAACAAGGCCGCCATCGCTGCTACGGAGATATATACCTTTCCACTGCATGTCGCACGCGCATCTGTTTGGTCCCTGGCAGATGCCGTTGTCGCATGGCGGTAGACACAGCGGCAGGTCGCACCGCCAACCGCCCCAGCTCTCCTCACACTCGCAACACCCACCCCCCTGACCCATAGCATAGCAGCACACACTGGGCAAAGTGCAGACCTGGCTTGCTCTGAGTTGACGCATCTGATTGATCATGCGGACCTTTCGTCTGTTCTCGGTGAGGCAGTCGGACATATACTCGAAGCAAGGCACGTCACTGCAGCACACACACACACACTCAGACACACACGAGTGAGTGTGCAGGACAGGCAGACGCAGGCCTTTCCTTTCCCCCTGCAACCCTCTGACTCTTGCGACGTCTTGTTTGCGCAGTTGGCCCTGGCTTCGTCCATCAGGTAGTCCGCAAGCTGCACAGCACACAAGATACACGACACGCAGACACACACAGATGAGGAACAGACGCACATCTCATCCCAGAAAGAGAAAAGAGAGAGCCCTTTTGCACAGCTCACGTCATAGGTGGCATTAGTGACGTTGACGAATGACTTGTCAAGCGTGGCGGTCACATTTGGCACGAACCCGTAGCGCACAGCGTCCGAACAGCATGACCGCTTGGTGCACAGAGAGGGCGGCAAGTGACACCCATCGATGCCCGACGCCTGCAGCAGTGCAATGCAGCAGTGGCAGAAAGGCTGATGGGGCAGACCGTTCTGGCTGGCCAAGCCACTTACGATTTCGTTGTCGGTGCAGGTGCCCTCCTGGTTGCCACACTTGTTGGGGGTGGTATCGCCGTTGCCGTGCGCCCGAGTGTCAAGCGCACACTGCAACAAGACCTGACGGACGGAACAAAATGAAACGACGGACACTGTCACCACACCGCTCGGCGGCATCCACTCTCTCACTCGCTGACAGCTCTACCAATGAGATAAGCTCCTCATCTTCCTTGGGGTAGCAGTCGCCCAGGGGCCTCTCGCGACCCCGGATGCACCAGGGGGCGGGCACCAGCGTCACATCTGCGAGAAACACACGATCATGGAGGCGTCCACCCATCCATCCATCCATCCATCCATCTCTATCTGTGTGTTGAGTGTGGCCCATCGCTATGCTGTCTGTCTTACTTACCAGGGTCGATGCACTCGTACTCCGACTCCATGCCGCAGCCATGGATGCACCTGATGGGGTTGTCGGCACAGCTGGCCTCGCACGTCGTCTGGCAGCAGTCGCCCCCGTCGTAGTTGCAGCCCAGCTCGTCGTGGTTGTTGGTGAGGTCGCACTTGCCGTCACCCATCCAACCGCTCACACACTGATAGAAATCTGTACAGCACCTCCATGTCAGTCATGCGCACAGCACACAAAGGGCGTGGCGTGCTGCTGCTCAGCTCAGGCGTGCAATGGTCTTGCTGCTTGCCTTCTCGGTTTTGCAGCCCTCCTCCTTTTCCAGACACACGGGGCAGAGTGAGTGTGTGGGCGGCGATGAACGCGACGACGCTGCTGGACAACTGCATTCTCAGACAAACACAATCCCTGCAATCGAACAGACAGATACAAATCACACACACCGCAGATCTCACTCATTGTCGTCCCCGCTCACCCCGCAGTCGACGAGAGCAGCTGCCAGTCATCCCTCTCACGGGCGGAGGCTGTGTCATGAATTCATCATGTGTCCTCACATGTCAATCGCCTCAACGGCCATGACTCGCCTCATCCCATCCCATCACATCCTCCGCAGATCTATTGGCGCGAGCTGAGTCGCGAGATTCAAAAGCTCGCAGGCCTTTTAGTTGGAGCGCACACGCCCCTTCCTCACCCTTCCTTCGTCGTCAAGCACGTGAGGGCACCACGTTGGACCATCAGCACCACATCAGAGGCCAGCCCGCGCCTCTCTCCACTCACCCCCAACAGCGGCATTTGGTGCTCAGCCAACTGTGTTGAATCGTCCATAGCCCCGTGTGTAAGAGTCCCGGGCTCTTCACTCATCGTCTGACCCTCGGTCCAGCCGGCGGGGGCTCCGTCAGCAGCAGCTCAGCGGCGTGTTGGAGGTAGCAGGTGTGTTGGGGGATATAGTGGTGCAGCCATGGGGAACCGGTTGGGCAAGGGCAAGAACTTCCACTCTGTGCGCCTGTCGCCTGACTGTATGGGCAAGCTGCAGCAGCTGTGGAAACAGCTGGACGCAAGGCACAGGGGGAAAATCACTTTCGGTGAGATTTGGGGGGACGGGGGAGGGGGGGGGGGACGCGAG